CAATTATTAGAATTGTCATCATAATAATGTATTCCAATATTGTATTACTTTTTAATATTTGAAAAACAAAGACTTTATTCATAAATAATTTAATCTCAATTTCGAGTGATGTCACCTTTTGAAGTCACATGTATGAGCATGTTTGTATTTATAGACGATGCCGTTTCCCACTTTCTATCAGGTGGACCGTCAGGTTGTTTGCCATTCTAAAATACATAAAAAATAAAAAATATAAACAAGTTAAAAATAGTGAAGTCAGTAACAGGTTCTAATGTATTATACACTAATAGATACCGATTACATAACTGTACTTACATAAGTGAAGCTAGCATTCATATTTTATAATATTTACCTATTTAATAAGTATAGGTAATACTTATATGTAATAGATATGTGTAATCATTATTACCTGCAACAACTATTGTTTGTAATTTCAAAAGAGGGAAGACAAATGCAGAGATAAGTCTTCTTAGTTTAGTCAGTTTTATGCACCAAGTTGTTATTTTAATTAAATAAATATATACACATGTGAAACTCCGAAGACAAGTATCATATAACTTCAAAAAAGAAGTTAAGAGTGTGTAAAAAAAATTATAACCCTGCCTGCGCTGTCGGTATATATTGGCGGGTTACCGGTGAGGGAAGATGAAGTCAGGTCAGTTGACCCATTGTAGCAAATTCACTAGGAATTAATCACGATGTTCCATGACAGACTGCGCGGAGGTCGAGCGAATTGGATATATTGCTAACAATGAGGACTGACCTATCTTCCTTTCTAATTAAAAGGGTTATCAAGCCCACCTTATACGAATTATAAAAGATTTGCTTCATATATCCCGTCGAGTTGTAATAAGCCGCTCGCGCTTAGGGCGTAATATTAATGTAATAGTACATTCACTTCGGCAAGTTATATAAAACATATCCTATTATGATTCATTTACAGTGGTATTTTTAAACTTAAAAGTGTATATAAGCGTTTCGCTAGTTCATGGTCTTCAAATGTTTTGAGCTTTAATCCCTCAGTTTGGCTCTATCTGCACTAGTAGATATTTTCAAACGTTTTGATACCGGTTAAAATCCTCCTCCGATTCGGTTTAACACCAAATCCATATTGAAAGGCACGAAAAGCTCAAGTAAATATTCAACCGTACGGTTACCAATCCGAGATAGAACACATTCGATGTTACTTCACACTGGACACAAGCGTGATTTAGAGTTTTGAAGTCCCTTTTTCTTTATCCAGTAAAGTAAATTTTATGTTGTGATACATCTTGTCATTAAATTTGCTAGGTACATTATGAACGCCTTTTTTGTATTCCAGTTTAGATAAAAAGGGATTTTTAATATTAAGAAATTAAAAAGTCTTCTTCCAGTTCACTCTTTGATTAGGACTATGAAGATAAAAGATTTCTATAGTTATCCATTTGCTTGGATTCACGATCTGACTTTTTATAGATTCAGAATAGGCAATTGCTTTTATACAACTTTTTAGCAATTTAAACAAATTAATTTCAAATGTTTCAATAATTATGTGTCTATAAAGCTTGAATGTAATATTGAATATGAATACACACATAATACAATACAAAATTTTATATTGATGTAGGTCATAAGTCATCTTCTAGTGAGACTATTTCTCAGGTCGCGCGTAGGTCAGGGAAATCGGCTGCTTATTAACATACAATAGCTTATCTATTATAAGACGTGTAAATAATAATCATTATTCAATCCTACAGAAAAATTTTATTATTTTAAACTTTATGCATGTACCGGAACTTTGTGCAAATATATGATTAAATACGACGTACGTTATGGCGCACCTACAATGTGTTAAAGAAGTTCCGGATTTGATTCTCGGTTGGATCAATTTCGAATATTCTCTTAATATATAATCAAACTTAAGCCCGATTAATTTAGTTCAATATTTATGTACTAATATATAATTTCAGTTACAAGCTAAGTTATATAATTTGTGAATAAAACTGCCGAATTGTGCAACCCTAATCGTCAAGTTCTTGAGTCTGTAGCACATAGCATGCGTGTTCTTAGATTCTCCTTCCAGAGGATTAGGATTAGAAACCAACAAAGAATTGTTAGGTTTCTAATCCTAGTTTAAGGACTAGGCAGTTGGTGTTTTTATGTCCATAGACATCTTTTTTGCAGGATAAATAATAATTTATGTAAGTATAAAATTTATTTATAAAATGCTCCTGTACATTCACCTTTAATATATGACTAATATTTATTTATTTAATTAAACTTTAATGTACAGTGTGAATGTATGTATATTTTAGATATTAAGTTATAACTAAAATGTATATAGGCTATCTTATCCTTTGAAGGGATTACTTTCAGTCAATTTTGAGAACTTGAAAGGAGATAATATCTGTAGGGTATATAAAGCAAAACATATGGTGCAAAAAAAGTATGATAATTAATAAACTATATTTAATTTACATTTATATAAAAAATATAATAAGAATGTTTACGACTCACATGAGATAGTCAGAGGTATTTTATTATTTGTTGCTATTAGAGAAAATGGCGTAGCTACTGAATTGCAATGTTCGAAATTCATCATGACAGGCAGAAAGTAAGCCAGGCGTTCTCTCTCAGATTAATTAATTATTTAATTACGATTACAGTGCTGTTATTGATGTTATTATGTCACATATTACATGTTATAATTAAATATCTTCTTTGTAGGTTGTATTCTATACGTATTCTCTTACAATTTTCTTAATTAATATTTTCGACATAATGTGTACTTATGTGGGTGCCTATGGGGGAGGTAATGAATGACTAATGACGACGATGACGATAATATATTGCGGTTCTAAAATTAAATATCAAGTTCGAGTTAATTTCTCTTTGTTTGCTCATAAAGCGTTTTAAATATCATAGAATAATGGTGAAACTAGGACATTTAATAATACCATCCACTATTTACATCACTAAAGGAAGCTAATTAAGTTTTACTCTATGAAAATAAAATATACTTTTATGCGAGTGAACTGCTGTAAATAAAACTAAAAATACCGGTGCATCCGTTCTGTGAATAGGGTGGCCAGGATTATATTCGAGTCAGGTGGCAAAGAAAATGCCATTTGACATTAGGTAGTAAGGTAGGATAAGTAAAAAATAATATTAAACACAAAGTGTATGATTAGGTATAATCACTATTTATAATATTGTTCGTAATTTTTCTTGCGAATCACAATAAAAAAGAAAAATAAAACCCTAACAGAAACAGGGCAGAAGTAAGACCATCTAATATGACCGGAGAAGCATTTAAAAATTTAACAATGTCCGATGTTACGCGGACGGATGGTAATGCTAACAAAACAACGAATAAACAAACACAATTAGTGATTATAAAGTTCGCTTTTGTCCGTATTTTAATGCACTAGTGTGTTGTTGTGGCGAATCGAGTTACATGTAAATTTTAAGGTTTTAGTGGCCGTGGCTGTATAATTCGATTATATTTTCATGTATATAGCACATGTTTGTATAATCGTTTCAATAGTATATGTTTAAGTGAAATACGAACCTATTGAAATAAAAACAGAATTTTAAATATTTGAATACTTATATCAATTTGTTACAGTTCGAAATCACGAAATAATATAATATTAGAATATGAGCGATATTCGATCAAAACTTGCATTGTTTTGTATAATTCAATTTAATATCGATTGAATTAAATTTGTTTTAGGGCAGGGTAACATATACTATAAATCTCATACCTATATAAATCTGTTACAGCAAATGGAAAGTCTGTATTGACTTGACTGACTGAATCCAATGAAATAAGAAAATATCCAAACTTTCAGTCGAAATTTTGAATTAATTATTTCATAGGAGTATATTCATATCTAGAATATGAAATTAACGTGTTTCTATAATTTTTTTAAGTTAAAGTTTAGTGCTGAAAATAATTTCTTTTTATATTATCGCAAAAAAAAAACACCTCGACAAAATAAATTAAAAAAAAATGCATAAGTTGAAAAATAAAAGTCATAATAATAATAAGCCAGCCATTATATAATTTTGTTTTACTTAAAATTCCATTTTTAAATACTATTACTTAGATATTTCAAATAGGAGAAAAAAACGATACTAAATACATTTTTCATTATTAATTTATTGCATATCAGTGTTGGATAGGTACAATTAGTATTCAAATTAAGAGTAACATAGTGACATGTATTTAATTCTATATAAATAAACGCTATACAAAGAAATATCAGAAGTAGCGATTGCAAAAAATATCATTTAGAAATCGCTTGTCAATAGTTGTACAAATGATATACGTTACAAAAGCTTGATTGGTTTTGCATACATTGCAATTTATTTTAATGTTCTCTCAATGTCAATCAAAGAGTAAACTTGTGAACCAAGTTCGTTCGTTTCAGTATATTTCGATTGATATAAATGCGAATTCATTCAACCGTATAATACGTAGTTCTCAATGGCTTCGCTTACCTTTGTCAAGACCAAGGCTCAGAGTAGACAGGTTTGTGAATGAATTTGAATTGATTGAATATGTGATACTGGTAATGGTAGTTTTAATTAATATTAAAATTAATGGTTTTATATTTTAAAGTTTTGTTGTTTTATTCATTACTGCGTACTTGGGAATTCAATACTTTGATTCTGTAGGAATTAAAATCCCTTGCAAGTGTTCATGTTTTAAAATCTAGCAGTTTCAGCTGAATATTGAATAGTTCATTAGGTTTATTTCTTTTATATTTGAATTATGCAGAAAGGGCAAATTTAAGCTTTCTGTTACATACCTATTTGTTATTGGTGATGTAGCTATAGTACTAAAACCAAAGATGAGATTGTTTTTATAGAGGTAAATGGAGAGTACACCTTTTAATAAGATAGATGCAGTTAATAGCAATAAATACTTAGATGTTTACCATCACTATTTGGTTTTGCTACAAATTTTGCGATGTACTGTAGTGAACTAGATTTAACTGGTTTAAAAGACTTACCAAAAGCAACGGCGATCCCAGGATTTACCGGCAATGATCAACTGTAAAACGAAAGTAGTAATTAGTGTCGGATCAGCAACAGAAGTTTGTAATACGTATATTAATATTATATGATAGCTGATTTATTAATATTTATAATTATATCCATATATTTTTAAATTTTAGGGTCATTCGGATAGACTCAGAATATATTGTTTCTTACACTATCACGGAGAAATGAATATTAATATTAGTTTTATTTTTATATAATTCCAAAAGGAAAAGTTCCTCAATTTTCCTGTATTTTTTGTATGTATGTTACACGATATGTTCCAATAATCCTGAATTGATTCGATAGAGTACTCCCGCGTTGGTCCCATATAAATTTAGATTGAAGTCGCTATTTTTCTTTATGGCGAAAAATTCTGTGTTGCGTTGCATGATTTATTTATAGAAACACACGATGCCGCGTACTAATTTACAAATATTTTCAATCTAATATATTTACGGAATATTTGGTCGCTCATTGGTGTATTTTTACCAGATTGATGATGCTGTTTGTTTATGCCGAGTTAATTGTATTTGTGATTAAGAAATAAAAAATGACGAAGGTATGAAAAAAACTACTAAGTATTTTGTATATAGCTAGGTTATATCTAAACTTAATATTTAGGTTATTTTATATACTATACACGCGGGCAATGCCGCGGGTAACAGCTAGTATACGATGTATTGAGGACCTCCTTTTTGAACGCGGTATAATACAAAGTTTATGGAATCACTCTGTAAGATTACGACTACGCTGCGTCTCGCCGAATGACAATCGCAGTTGCAATTTCGTTTCAACGTTGATCGCAACTAGCGAGTTTATTACCATCCGAATACGTAATACTCGTCTATCACTGCCGACGAAGCCAAAGAAATTACTTTGAACGTTAACACCGGCTTGATTGCTTTTAAAGCGCATATCCGGGATTCGCTCCAGTAGGACATACTACATGTTGCCAATCGAAAACACTTTCGTAATAGTAATACGGAAATGTTATTTTCACTTATGTGACTCGAATAAGAGTATTTAATTTATATCAAATATCATAGATTTAATTTATATCAAATGTCATAGAGTGACGTCTCTCCGATAATGAGTTCTCTTCGATAATGAGGCAGGTCTGTTAAATAAAAAAAAAAAAAACGCTTGATATATTACTGCTCTGTAGATCCAAACTAAGGAGAGTTTGCAGTACATTTAATTGGTAAATACAAAAAAATTAAGTGATTTTTTAACCAAGTTTTTTTGGGTAAAGTGTTCAGTTATAGATTACCTATGAGGTAAATATTATTTAAGGAAAGAGAGAGAGGGCGAAAGTTTATATCTTGTGACGTTTAAAAATAATAAAATACAGCCCGTATTACTGAATAGTGTTGTTTTGTATAGGCGAAATAATTTTTTAAATAGGTTAAGCATTTTTTGAGCTTATCCGAGTTTCTTATTGAGAGTATCAGAGATTCGATCTGGCTTCGCATGGGTAGATGGAATTTTCGAAAGTAATACATAACGTGTGTATATAATGTAGCTTTTTACAGATGAAAAATTTTTTATAATCAGTTGTATAGTTTTTAAGTTTATCCATTACAAACAAACAATGAAATCTTTAATTATTATAATATTACCTATTTTAAATGTAGTGAGCTATTAAATTTTTTGCCCTTTTCAACCGACTTCAAGTAGGAGGTTCTCAATTCGATTGTATTTTTTTTATATTTGTTACCTTATAATTCCGTTAGTTGTAAACGGATTTGGAAAATTCTTTTTTCATATGGATATACTTAAAGGATATACTTACAGATAGATCCCATAGAAATTTTATAAAAATTTATTCCATAGTTTTCATTGTATTAAATTAAAATAACTAGTTTTGTCATAATTGAAGTAGTTTTTTTTTAAACACAGTCTTAATTATTATAGTAACATAATGAAAATTTTGAAGCTACTTATTGTATACTTTATTAAGTGAACATAATAACCTTTAATTTGATACCTATTTGAATAATAATATTGTTTAATAATAATATAGTATAATTGTTACGAGCATCAGGCGTGGTTCACTGTCTATTGTTACTATGGAAACAATGTGTTAGTTATGTACTTAAATATATGTTACAATGGACATCTAACTCATGCAATTACACAGTTAATTAAAGCGCTTACAGCTCGTTAGTTCGTTCATTGATAGTATTTAATGAGGTTAAGCAACGCCGACTGTAGTATATTCCTTTGTTTACCGACTGTTACTACAAGGGAGGGTGCAGTAAGCGGTTTTTAATATACACATTTGACATTTTTCAGACGTAGTAGCTAACATGTGGGGATGACAAAGGCGAAAATAGCGTGCATTTTTCTAAGCTTAAAATATTTTTTGCAAATTTCCTTTCATTTTTATTTCTACTATGATTGTGAGATTAGAGTATTCCTACAAATAAAAAAATATGTATTTATGTATTGTACCTATATTAACAAATGGTTAGAAGCATGCGTCTCTGTATAGTTATAAATCTATCTATACTTATAATAAATCTGTAGAGCGGACAATTATACGGTAACATAATAGTACATGAAATATATTTCGAAAATAACTATCGGGGGGTGATTAGTGAACGATACTGATACCAAAAATGCAATCAGTAAAATTTTTGTCTGTCTGTCTGTCTGTCTGTCTGTTTGTTTGTTATAGAAACAAAAACTACTCGACGGATATTAACGAAACTTGGTACAATTATTCTTCATACTCCTGGGCAGGTTATATATATATATATATATATATATATATATATATATATATATATATATATATATATATATATATATATATATATATATATATATATATATATATATATATATATATATATATATATAGTATACTTTTCATCACGCTACGATCAATAGGAGCAGAGCAGTGAAGGAAAATGTTGGGAAAACAGGAGAAGTTACTCCAAAAAACTTCGCAATACTATATGTCCAACTATTATCGTTATGTCGCAATAACCACTTTTTAAAATTTAAAAATATCGACCTGTGCGAAGCCGGGACGGGCCGCTAGTAAAGAATATAATATGTATGTCAGCACTTCTTTTCATGTTCAGGTTACAACCTGACACAGCGACTAGGCTATAGAGAAGAAAACTAAATAAATTCTTAAACTATAATAACTGTTCTATAAATATAATATATTACAACATTTCATATCTAACGTGTTAATAGTAGGCTAACATTATCTTATTATGGGAAGTGACCCGTGCCCATAGTAGTTAAATCTTAATGGGTCGTTATTATCATAGTTTAATGAGTGTACCATTAAGAACGTTGGACTAAACGGCTTATGAAAACATTACACTTCTTTTGTTTGTAATCGGGTATAAAGGCTACCGAAATAAAAGCTACCGAATTACGTTTATGCAATATTAGGGGTTGCATACATTAAAACCAGAGGGAGACTTTTTTTAAGTCATCTGCTTGGGTATCTCTGTCCCATTCGTGTTTCAGACGTGAAGCAGTTGTGTTTGTATGGCTGTGTTTCAGTTTGAAGGGTGGGATATGGCAATGAATTTGCAGGGTACAGAGATATAACATCTTAGTCCTTAAAAATGGCAACGCCTGAAGGGTATAGTGGGCGACACAGTATACTCTTTTATGTTCATGCTACTGTTCACGCATATAGATGATGCCTATCAATTCCCATACGGTGGTGATGGCTTGTTTACTAAATTTCATTAAAAAATATAATTAAATATTGTCAAATACTTTAAGAATATTTTCTTTACAAAAAAATGCATTGAATGTACCCCCCGGTGTATCCTAATGGACACGTTCGATAAAACAAACAGTATGCTGATTTACAGATTCCACTCACCCTGTGCCATATGCACTCGCATTATACAGCACATTTTCTAAACAAATTGTTTTATCGCTACTTCTAAAGTGGATCCGCTCCGTCGCGCACGTAATTCTTCTCAGTCCGCATACAAACAGCCCCTAAGGAGCCGACAATCCTCACCGCAAACAATAAAAATATACATAAAAATAAATTTGATACTTGAAACCGTGGACAGAAGGGTACACGGAACAAAAAAACTAGTGGAAATGGTGGTTCAGAGTGACGTTATATAATAATATATGCAATCATATTTAAACCTAATTCTTAATAGAAATATATAAACTAATTACTATTAATGTGAAAGTAACTTTAATTTAAGATTAACCAATTACTATGATATTGAATTTTATAAATTGAATGATATATGGGAACTTTTTGATATATGTATATTAACTATTTTATATATATTTAACCAGAGGGAGACTTTGTACAAAAGTCGATGGCTTGGGTACCTCTGTCCCATTCGTGTTTCAACCGTGAAGTAGTTGTGTTTGCATGGCTGTGTTTCGTTTTGAAAGCGTGGGATATGGCGTCAATTTACAGGGTACAGAGGAATAACCCCTGAGTCCTCAGGAATGGCAATGCATGGGGGTATCATGGGCGAAACAGTATACTCTGTTATGTCCATGGTATAGCTCAGGTCTATAGGCGATGGTTACCGCTTTCCAGCAGGTGGGCCGTCAGCTTGTTTGCCATTCTAAGTTGTATAAAAAAAGTGGTGGTTTATTTGATATAGGGTAGCATATTTGTTATTTTAAGTAAAAATGTTGACATAAAAACCTTACGCTTATTTATGATTATTATATTATTTATATTATCTGAAATATATTATCATAAATTTTTGTTAAAAAAGGGACTGAGAGAAAAAAATAATAAATATTGATATTTGAAGTTAATGAGTATTGATTCTTTATTTGTGAGATTATCGAAGTGACGAAAGAGAAGAGACACGTACGTCAAAAGTTAGCAGGTAATCTGACATCAAGGAGGGGGCGCCGTGTTGAGAAGAAAATAGGGTTCATGTTATGAAATGCCGAATAGCAAATTGCATTGTGCCGCTACTCAGGCGTCGCTGGAGCGTCGACATGAAATTGGATTGCGTACTATCTAATAATTCTGATCGTGAG